CGCCCGTGCCCTTCATGCCGCCCGCTGCTCGCCGCACGTACGCCGCGCGCACCTCCGCTTTGCCCGCTCCCACCTGTCAGAGTCGCCCGCCCTCTTCCACCGCCCCCCAGTGGCTGTAAAAGGGCGACAGCCCCAACCCAGTGCCGGTTCTGTCGCGGGGCGGAGGGTGGGAAGCGTCCCAGAGTGCTGGCAGGCTCCCTTGTCCTCAACCCACACCTTGGTGGTCCTGCTGGGTCCCGGGACTCCTTCTGGCCCTCCCCTCCTCGAGTAACGGAGTCAGCGACAGATGGGCATAGAAGGCCCTAATAAGCCCTCATACCTGGGTCCACTCCCTAGAAACCAAGCCTGGCCCACCCTCAGTGAGGTTAGTGAAGAGGAAGCAACAAGGTCAAAGACTGGACGGGTTGCGATGTAACAGCTTACGGCACACGGGGGCCAAACTTTGATCCATTCAGCCTCTTCCCTACTGTATGGCCAACACCAGCCAGTCCAACTGGGCAAATATGAAGGCACAGATGCAGTAAACCTCAGCCTGAGCCGAGGAAGCCCTGGTGTCCAAGTGTTTTCCCACGCTTATTCTGTGAACTTTTCTTGTCATGAATGAGGGGAAACAGTCTGAGAATCTCATCATGTGTGAGCACAGCCCAGCGCAGGAGGTGCCCAGCGCCAGCTCAAGCCAATTGTAGATATTCCCCATCGTACACTGGCCAGATGGGCAGTCCAGACCTGAGAAAGGCCTAAATACATACACAGAAACGCATACAACACACATTTAAAAGTGCAAACTGCAGGCACACCTTGTTTTATTGCTCTCTACTGAGCTTTGAATATAGTACATTTTTTTTAAACAAATAGAAGGTTTGTGACAACCCTGTGTCAAGTAATCCTATTGGTAGCATTTTTAATAATACCTTGAGCCCACTTTCTATCTCTAAGTAACATTTTAGTACTTCTCATGCTCTTTCAAACCTTTTCACAATTTACATTATAGTGTTAGTATGCACTGGGAAACCAAAATTTCAAGTGACTCATTTTATTGCAGTACATTTTATTGTGGTAGTCTGTTACAGAAACCACAATATCTCTGTTGTTAGGTGTCATCGAGTCAACTACAACTCACACCAACCTTCTGAACAGCTGATCCAAACCTTACCCTATGCTGTGCCGTCCTCATCATCTCTAATACATGGGGGCCATCATTACTGTCTCTGTGTCAATTCATCTTATTAAGGATCTTCTCTTGCACTGACCCTCTACCTTTCCAAGCATGGTATCTTATCCAAGATCTGACCCCTCCTGACAACATGCCCAAAGTATGTGAGACAAAGCTTCATCATCTTGCCTTCAAAGAGCACTTTGGTTTCACTTTTTCCGAAACATATTTCTTCTTTTCGCAGTCCATGGAATATTCAGTAGTCTTCTCCAGCATCACAATTCAAGGACATCAATTCTTCTGTTATCCTTAATCATTGTCCAACTTTTAGATGCATAGCAAGTGATTAGAAAGACCATGGTTTGTATCAGGTGTACCTTAGTCTTTAAACTGATGTCCTTTCTCTTTAACACTTTGGAGAATTCCCTGACTACAAATGTTCTCAACGCCATACATCTTTTGATTTCTTGACTGCTCTACCAAGCATGTTGTCTATAGTTTCAAGTAACATCAAATTGTCAACTTCAATCTTTTTTCCATCTATCATACTGGTCCAGTGGTGAGGATTTTAGTTTTCTAGGTGTTAAGATATAATTCATATTGAAGGCTGTAATTTTTTATCTTTTGCATCAAGCATTTTAAGTCTTCCTCACTTTCAGCAAGCAAGGCTGTGTCATCTGCATAATGAAGGTTGCTGATGAGTCTTTCTCTGATCCTGATGCCACAGTTTTCTTCAAATTTGTTTTATATCCTTCATATTTCTGCTGCGACTTGTCCCCATTTAAAAAAAAAGTGATCTGACAGAATGTGGAAATTACCAAACAATATCATATGCAAGCAAAATCTTGCTAAAATTATTAAAAAGCAGCTAGAACAGTACATAACAGGAATATATCTTTGTTGATGCCAGATGGAATCTGAAAGCATAGACTAACAGAAGGATGTCTATTTGTGTTTTATTGACTATGCAAAGATATTTGATTGTGTAGATCACCATGAATTATGGCTGACATTGAGAAGAATGGGAATCCAAGAACACTTAGTTGTGCCCCTGTGAAACCTATACTTAGATGAAGAGGCTGTGGTGCTAGCAGAGCATGAGAACACTGCATAGTTAAAATCAGGGTTGCATCCTTTCTCAATATATTTCTGAGGTATGCCTATATTGTTTCATCCGACACTGGTAATGTAATGGTAAGGAGTTGCCCTGCCAACCCAAAGGCAGGCAGTTTGAATCCACCAGCTGCTCTGCAGAAGATGGGCAATCCCTTCTGAACGATTTGCAGCCTCTGAAATCCCATTGGAGGGTCAGCTGTGAGTCTGTTTCAATGTGACACTACATTAACTACAATTACTACAATAACAAATCACCAACAGAACCTAAAACCAATCAAATCCCTCCATCCCATTACCCCACTGGAGCCTCCCTCCATCCATGCAGGAATTCCTAATCTCCTCCCCTTTCTCAGGAGCTTGTCCTACAGATCATCCTGCCTGTTAAACCTCCTTATTAACAATGGAAAGGGAGCTCTGGTGGCCTAGTGACAAGAAGCTGAGCTGCAGCCCCGAAGACACGCAGTTGAAGTCCACCAACTGCTACACGGAAGAAGGATGGGCAATCTCTTCCTGTGCGATTAACTGCCTCTGAAAACTCTCTGGAGAGTCAGCTATGGGTTGGTTCCTACTCACCATACTCAACAACAACAACATAACAATGGAAACAAAACCCTCATTCAACCTCCCCAATTATGGTAATGTCTCTTTTTTTTCTCTATTTTATTAATTTTCATAAACATTTACAGAGATTTGGGGTTTCCATTCATTCATTGTTGCACTATTCTCTCTACCCTCCTCCCAGTTTGTTCTTGTCCAAATGCCACAGTGCTTGTCAAAGCCAGTTTTGATTAATCTTCTTTGTCAGTGTATCCTTTGCCATTCCCTATCACTCCTCCCTGAGAGAGACTTCACCTTGAGTCATAAGGAAAAGGGGACGGCGTATTCTCTTAGCTACTTCCTGCTGAAAAGGGACGCTGTGGGTTTCAGGGTGAAGATCTTCTCTCACTACTCTAAAGGGCCCTTTTGGCAGTAGGAAACACATAGACTATTATGAAGATTGATTTTGGAATTTAGATGCACTCCTATTGATTGTGCTTGGCCGTACATGTTCATATCCTTGAAGATGTATCATGGGGGTGTTGCAACCTAGAAGACACAAATTTGACTAACAAGTTATAAGTACATGAGTCCAAAAATTATGGAAAAGTAAAAGAAAAGATTCTTTTGTTGTTTTACAAACCCTCCCCCAGGTCCCCTCCACCATGCAGCCCTCGCTCTAGTCTCCTGTGATGACAGAAATACCTAGTTATATATCTCTTTTAAACAGTTTTCTCCCTCCTCTGTTTCAGTGCAGTATACATTATTGAACCCATCTTACTCAGTGTCTCCCCAACCCCAAGGACAGTCCCATTCTACAACAGTGGCATCATGTAATATTTGTCCTTTTGTGACTGAGATATTTCACTCAGCATAATGTTCTCCAGAATCAACCATTTTGAATAATATTGCATGAGTTCCTTGTTTTTTAATGCAGCATAGTATTCCATTGTGCGAATATACCACAGCTTCTCTAGCCATTCGTTTGTTGATGGGCACTTAGGTTGTTTCCAACTCCTTGCTATTGTGAACAAAGCTGCAATAAACATGTAATGTCTCTTCTCTCCAAAATATACAATTCCTTGGAAGAGCTCTTCTCCCTCCCTCCCACCCCTCGGAGCCCTGCAGCAGATTTTTGGACCTCCTCACAGCACCAAACCCGGGCTTAGTAAACTCTCTATGACCTCCATGTCTCTCCACTGCCACAGCAGCACTTGAACCCATTAGCCACTGTCTCCTAGAACATTCATTCCCCTTGGCTTCCCTCTAGCCTCTTCGGACATTTCTGATGAGTCTCCCTCCTTGGCTCATTCTCTTTTGTCCATTAGTCATAAAGCATGGGATTCTTCTAGACTCAAGACTGGGCACTCACTTTCCTCTTCTATATTTTTTTTTCCTTATAAACAAAGGATTCACAAGCTTCTCCTTCCACTTCTAAGTCACATAACTGACTCCTCCATCTACCTCTCCCCTTAAACATCCAGAGTCACATCAATCTCAAAATGTCTAATATTCCTTCCATACTTCCCCACTTCCCAACATGCCCAGCTCAGTGCAAAGGTACCTTCTACCTAATACTTAATAAAACACTTGAAGTTCTACTCAGTACCGCCTTCTTCCTTACCCCAAACCTTATTCTCTAAATATTCCATATGCTAAGTGTTCAGTTTTGCCAATTAAATCTTCCTGTTTTTTCTATGTGCTAGAGTTACTCAAGAGCAATGGTGTCTCTCTGGAGACTAAGGTGTGCCTGATACAGGTCATGGTCTTTGCAATCACTTGTTATGTATCAGAGTGTTGGACAATGACTAGGGAGGACAGAAGGAGAATTGATGCCTTTGAGCTGTGGTGCTGGAGAAGAGTATTGAATGTACCATGGA